AATTCAAGCACCGTGAAACATGTTCAACAATGTCCTTCTTAATCTTCCACTGCCGGAAATGTTGCTTCACATCACGATACATCATCGAGACACCTAGATGAATGGAATACCTCAAACTGTGAGCTTCTTCAAGAATCAAATCCCTCAAGCTTCAGATCACAAATCCGGCCCTAAAGCCGCATAACACCATCATCTCCGAGCATAACCTCTTGTGCACCACCTCGATACATTATATCCTTTAACACCAACAAATGAGGATCATCAAATTGGAGAGTCTTGATGTGCTCCAACAAAGATAATTGTGTCACCACACAAGCGAGAACTCTACTCGGCTCAGAAATACCCAACCTCAAAAATCGGTTCGCCAAGGTCTGAACGCCCATACCCAATGGCCTCTTCTCTGCTGGAATAAATGCCAAACTACCCATGCTCTCTCCCTTTCTACTCAAGGCATCAGCAATCACATTTTCCTTGCCCGGATGATATAATATAGTGATATCATAGCCTTTCAACAACTCCAACCACCTCCGCAGCCTCAAATTCAAATCCTTCTGCTTGAACAAATGCTAGAGACTCCTATTATCAATGTAGACCTCAGATAATACAACGTACAAGTAGTGCCTCAAAATCTTGAGCGCGTGCGAAATAGTTACCAACTCTAAATCATAAATATGATAATTCATCTCATGGGTCTTCAACTGAGGAGACGCATAGGCAATCACTTTGCCATCCTATATCAGTACCGTACCAAGTCCAATACATGAAGCATCATAATAAACGGTATAAAGCCCTAAAATTATGGGCAATACCAATACTGAAGCGGTAGTTAAAGCCATCTTGAGCTTCTAGAAACTCTCCTCATACTTATCAGGCCATCTAAAAGAAGCACCCTTCTGAGTCAACTTGGTCAATGGGGTTATAATAGATGAAAATCCCTCAAAAGAGCGATGATAGTAGCCCGCCAAACCCAAGAAACATTTAATCTATGTAGCTGAAGTAGGTCTAGGCCAATTCTGAACTGCCTCAATCTTCTTAGGATCAACCTTGATACCATCACTAGAGACAACATGACCAAAAAATGCAACTGACTCCAACCAAAACTCACACTTCAACAACTTGGCATAAAGTTGGTGATCCTTCAAAGTCTGAAGTAATACCCTCAAGTGTTGCTCATGCTCCTCTCTACTATAAGAGTAAACCAGAATATCATCAATGAATACAATCACAAAGGAATCCAAATAAGTCTTGAACACTCGGCTCATCAAATCCATGAAAGTTATTGGGGCATTAGTCAACCCAAAACATATCGCCAAGAACTCATAATGACTATAGTGAGTCCTAAAAGCTGTCTTAGGGACATCCGAAGCCCTAATGTTCACTGATGATAGCCAAATCTCAAATCAATCTTTAAAAACACCTTGGCACCCTAAAGCTAATCAAACAATTTGAGGCAATGGATACTTGTTCTTGATAGCAGCCTATTTCAAATGTCGATAATCAATGCACATCCTCATAGAACCATCCTTCATCTTCACAAACAACACCGGTGCACCCCAAGGACAAACACTAAGTCTAATGAATCCTTTATCAAGTAAATCATGTAGGTGCTCCTTCAACCCCTTTAACTCAGATGGAGCCATACGGTACGGTGAACTATAAACGGGCTGAGTGCCCTGAACCAAGTCAATGGAAAAGTCAATATCTCTATCAAGCGGCATACCAGGTAAATCCACTAGAAACACCTCTAAAAACTCTCTCACAACCAGTACTAAATCAATAGAAGGAACCTTCACACTAGAATCTTGAATATAAGCCAAATATGCTAAACACCCCTTCTCAACCATGCGTTGAGCCTTCAAGAATGAAACCACCCTACTAGTAGAATGACCAAGGGTTCCTCTCCACTCAAACCTAGGCAACCCTGACAAAAATAAAGTCACAGTATTGGCGTGACAATCCAAGATAGCGTGATATGGGACAACCAGTCCATACCAAAAATAACCTCAAAATCCACCATATCCAATAGTAATAGATCAACTATAGTATCAAAACAATTAATGGTAACAACACAAGACTAATACACTCGATCAACTACTATAGAATCCCCAACCGATGTAGACACAAAAACAGGAATATCAAGAGAATCACGAGGCATACTCAAGTGTGATGCAAAATATAAAAACACATAAAAATATGTAGAACCGGGATCAAACAACACCGAAGCATCTCTATGATAGACTGAGATAATATCGATAATAACTGCATCAGACGACTCTACCTCAGGCCTACCCAAAAAAATGCATAAAATTGGGGCTAAGCACCTCCAACTTGTAATCCACCTCTAGTACAAACGCTCACTAACTAGCCTCCACCTTTAGCTAGTTGACCTCCTCCTCTGACTGGCTGACCCCCACCTCTAGTTGGCTAAGTAGGTGTTGTAGGAGCTAGTACTGGAGCAATGGTTTGGATCCATTGATGTGCTCCACCCCACGATCTTGGGCAATGCCTCTTATAATGCCCCATATCCCAACACTTGAAACTACCCTTTGCTAGATGCAGCTGATGGGGCTGAGGATATCCTGATTAATCGAATCACCACTATAGAAGCTTTGTATTGGATGTTCACTTATGGGAGCTGCAGATTCACTGAATGATGGTCACCCAAAGCGAGAACCGTAAGTACCATGGCTGCTTGAAGTACCGTGAGAAACCTGGAGTGTTGACTGAACTAGCCTGATAGAATGGCCTCTACCAAAGAACCTCTGCCTCCAAACGAGGCACCACTGTAACCACAAAAGACAAGGCCTCTTGTCAGATATTGCCTCTCTCCCAAGGCTACAAATCCATTGAATCCTCCTAGAAATCTTATCAACCTAAGTGAAAGAAGTCTCAGTCTCGGCCTCTCTATCCATCTGAAGTCTAATACAATAAGCAAGGCCCTCTATGAATCTCCGCACCTACTGTAACACTCCGTGAATCTTAATTAGTTGTGGATGCATTAAATGAGTATTAATGTGACCTTTTAACATGTAAAGTCCTATCTGGATGAGTATGGGTAGTAATCATTATTTTGGAATTAAGACCGATAGTGAGGTGCATAAAATTCGATAGAATCTACTAAGTTTATGGGAGGTAGGTCTTATAGACATAGTTAGTGCATGGCCATGAAAACTCACGGCCATAGACAATGAAAGGCCATAGACAGTGCAAGGCACTATCCAGGGCATTAAAGTCAGCGCCTCTGACAGTGCAAGGCACTATAGTTTTGGCGCCTCTGATGGAGCCTTGCACCATTATTTTTGCGCCACTGATGATGCCTTGCGCCGACAATGTTTATCCTAGCTACTTTTATTTCCTCGTCAATTTTGGGGCGTGTTCACTTATTTACAACCCTTACCTCGTTCCCCCAAACCCCAAGCACGAAAACCTACTCTAGAAAGGGAAGCTCTCAAGAACCTAACTTCTCCAAGGTCCCTCCATCATCCAAGCTAAGCTCTAACGATGCTTCTAAGTTAATTTCAGAAAGGTAATGCTTCTACTCCCTAATCATTTATAACTATGAATTGATAAGTTTTTGGGAGAATATTAAATGGGTTTGATAAAGAAAACCATAAGAACTATGCTAGGGTTTTGGATTGTTGACTTATGATTGTTGTAAACATTTGGGTGATGAGAAATGGTGTTAGTTACATCTATTTGGGATTGTAGAATCACCTAGAAGTAGTAGAATGAGAACTTGGTGAAGAAAACACCAATTACTAAGGGCTGTGAGGCTTTACACCTATAAGTTGTTTAATATAATTCCTAAGTTACTAAAATAGGATCATTAGTGCTAATATTAGTTCCTCTTGATATATATATTGACGTAGATTATCATTGAAAGTGGTGACGAACACTGTGATACTCTTAAAAAGGGCCAGAGTTAAGGTATGTGAGGCTAACTCTCTTTACATTTGGGAATTTTTATAATTCTCCCTACGTCCCATTCTTTACGACTGTTATGAGTTTCCTCAGAAAGTAATTAAGCCTTAGTTCCATGAATTATTTTAGAACTTCTATTCTCTAGATGGAATAGTTTCTTAATCGTTCAATCTCCTATGAGTTTCAGTTATGACAAATCAATTTATTCTAAATACATGTCTCAGTCTAGTTCTATTCAGCATTTCAGTGTCATGTAACTCAGTATGGTTCAGTATTTTAGTATCATATATTGCAGTATGATTCTCGATTCCTAATTCTAAATTTCTGAATGTTGAACACATGTATTTGGGCCTGAGGCCGCTGTTTATGCTTTATGCATTTTTGGCCTTGAGGCCGCAGTTTATTTATTCAGATAAACAGTTGGTTCATCATTTAGAAGAGAGAGTATTCATAACCTTACTTCCTATGTTTAGTTAAGTTATCAATAATCAGTTATCAGTTACAGTTTTAGTATTTACAGTTCCTTCTTTCAGCTGTTTTACATACTAGTGCATTTCAAGTGTATTGACGTCCCTTATTGCCCAGGGCCTGCATCTCGCAATGCATGTAATGATTTAAAGGTTGATGATTCTGCTTGCTAGGACATCTCGTATCAGTTGTTGGTGAGCACTAGGTTCAAGAGTCCTAGGGTCTATGAAGTCGTGACCAGTGGGGTCACTTTTATGTGTGTGTGCACGCCACACATGTAAACAGTTAACCACCAAGACATTTAGGATTGTTTCATTACTTTCATACTCTAGATTGTGCAGTTAGATCTATGCATTCAGGAATCCTTCTAACTCGTGCGAATTACGTATTTCAGAAAATGCCTGCAAAAAGAAGGTACACCATGAGGGCCTCAGCTACTAGCGAGGGGACTATGGCTAATGCTGCTCATGAGGAGGTCACGTCGGCCCAGGGAGTTGCACTGGGCTCAGTGCCCAATACTTCAGACATGGATGCCAGGGTAGCTATCCAGTTGCTCACCCAAATTGTTGCTACTCATGCTCAAAGGCAAGGGAACAAGTGTTGTTGATGAGATGGGTAGTTCCAGGTCTAAGGGATTCCTCAACATGAAACCTCCAGTTTTCACAGGGTCCAGAAAGGATGAGGATCCGAAAAACATCATTGATGATGTTAAAAAGATATTTCAAGTGATGCATGCTATAGACACTGAGGCATCAGAGCTTGCTGCATACCAGCTAAAGGATGTTGCTAACACTTGGTATGAAACACGGGAAGAGTCCCAATGGGAGGATGCGGCTCCTACAACTTGGAAGGAATTTGCAGATGCGTTTCTTGAGCATTTTCTACCCATTGAGGTCTTGGAAGCTAAGGCTTTAGAGTTTGAGAGACTCAAAAAGAATGATATGAGTGTAAATGAGTACTACCTCAAATTCGTCTCTCTAGCCAAATATGCTCCAGAAATGGTATGTGATATGAGGGCCAGAGTTAGGTGGTTTGTTTTGGGGCTTTTGGATGACCTATTTACTGATGCTAATATAGTTGTTCAGAACAGTGACATGACCATTACTAAAATGGTAGCCTTTGTTCAAGGGAACAAATAAAGGTTGAAGGAAGAAGAGCGACTACAGAGAGAGAGCGATAGGGAATTCCGCAAGAGAACTAAGTCTGCAGGAAATTTTAGACATGGGGGATCTCAAGGAGGTGGTAATCGTCAGTTCTTCAAGAAACCAAAATCAGTACCTGCTCCGTCTTTAGCTAGTGCACCAGTTCAGAGGTCCATGTTTAACAAGTAAAATCACAATTTCATAGCAGCAGACTCACAGTCACAGGCTAGTGTGGGCTAGAGTCCTTGGTTACCCTATTTGTAACATGTGTGGTAAGAGGCACCTAGGGTTGTGTCATTCGGGCACAAATAGTTGCTTTGAGTGCGGTCAGTAGGGCCACTTCTTGAGGGATTATCCATTAGCAAAGCAGAACAATGGAGGCAATGTAGCTCAGTCCACTAATTTAGCAGCCCCTCAGAACTTTCAGGCCCAACAAGGGTGTGGTGCAACAAAGTCTGGTAATACGGGTGGTGGTCGGAACCACTTGTATGCGCTGGTAGGCCGTCAGGATATAAAGGCTCGTGGAGATGTTGTCACAAGTATGCTAACAGTCTTCACCTTTGATGTTTACGCTTTTATGGATTCGGGATCCACCTTATCTTATGTAACCCCATATATTGCTATGAAATTTGGGATAGAACCAGAAAAGTTGTGTGAACCCTTTGAAGTGTCCACTATAGTTGGAGAATCTGTTATAGCTAGACGTATCTATAGTGGATGTCCATTTAAAGTGTATCATCGCCCTACTGTAGCAGACTTAGTAGAATTTGAGATGGCAGACTTCGATGTAATCATGGGCATGGATTGGTTATGCCACAGTGGGTTGTAGAACCAAAATAGTAAGTTTCGAATTTCTTGGTGAACCAGTCTTAGAATAGAAGGGTGATGCAGTAGCACCAAGGGGTATGTTTATTTCCTATCTTAAAGCTAGAAAGATGATCTCTAAAGGGTATATTTATCACTTGGTTCGAGTTAAAGATGTAGCTGCGCAGATTCCCACTCTCCAGTCAGTACCACTTGTAAATGAGTTCCTAGAAGATCTTCCCGGAGTCCCTCCCGATAGAGAGATTGACTTTGGAATTGATCTACTCCCCGGCACTAAGCCGATATCTATTCCGCCTTATAGAATGGCTCCAGCAGAGTTGAAAAAGCTAAAAGTCCAGTTGAAAAAACTTCTAAATAAGGGATTTTTAAGGCCAATTGTCTCATCTTGGGGTGCACCGATCTTTTTTGTCCAAAAGATGGATGGGTCTTTGCGCATGTGCATTGACTATCGTCAGTTAAATAAAGTCACCATCAAGAACAAGTACCCCTTGCTAGAATAGATGATTTATTCGATCAACTTCAGGGTGCCCAGTGTTACTCCAAGATTGACCTCAGATTGGGGTACCATCAGTTGAAGATTAAGGAAGTTGATATTCCAAAAATAGGTTTTAGGACTCATTATGGGCATTTCGAATTTTTGGTAATGTTGTTTGGTTTAATGAATGCACCAACAGTTTTCATGGACCTTACAAATAGGGTCTTCAATTCTTATCTTGATTTGTTCGTTATTGTGTTTATTGATGACATATTGATTTATTCCCGTAGCGAGACGGACCATGCAGAACATCTCAGAATTGTGTTGCAGACACTGCAAGATCACAAGCTTTATGCAAAATTATTTACGTGTGAATTTTGGTTGAAATCAATAGCATTTTTGGTCCATGTCATCTCAGACGAAGGCGTGAAGGTGGACATTCATAAAACAGAGATAGTGAAGAATTCGCCTAGACCCACCTCAGTATCCGATATAAGAGATTTCTTGTGTCTAGCAGGCTATTACAGATGTTTCGTATAGGGATTTTCCTCTATCTCATCCCCTTTGACTAGATTGACTCAGAAGAAGGTCAAGTTTCAGTGGTCAGATGCTTGCGAGAAAAGTTTTGAGGAATTAAAGAAGAGGTTGACTTCAGCGCCAGTTTTGACACTACCAGAAGGAACCGAAGGGTTCGTTGTTTATTGTGATACTTCAGGGGTGGTCTTGGGTGTATGTTAATGCAGCATGGTAAAGTCATAGCCTACTCATCGAAACAACTCAAGGTTCACGAGAAGAATTATCCGACTCATGATCTTGAGTTAGCTGCCGTGATATTTGCGCTAAAGATCTGGCGCCATTATTTGTATGGAGTGCATGTTGATATTTTCATAGATCACAAGAGTCTGCAATACATCTTCAAGCAAAGAGAATTGATTCTTCATCAAAGAAGGTGGCTCGAATTGCTCAAGGATTATGATGTGGATATCCTCTATCATCCCGGGAAAGCAAATATTATAGCTGATGCCCTCAGTCGGTGTTCTATGGGAAGCTTAGCTCATGTTGAAGCAGACAAGAGAACTATGCTGAAGGAAGTCCACCAATTAGCAAGTCTAGGAGTTCGACTTTTGGACTCCGAAGATGTTGGCATTGTTCTTTAGAACAGGGCTGAATCCTCCTTAGTAGCTGAAGTGAAGGAAAAGTAGTTCAGTGATCCCTACTTATTTGGAGCTGAATGAGGGAATTCACAAACACAAGACTACGGCTTTTGAACAAGAGGGATATAATGGTACTTTGAGATATAGAGGCAGACTATACATTCCAGACACAGATGGGCTCAGAGAGTGGATTATGTCAGAAGCCCGCAATTCTAGGTATTCTATTCACCCAGGTTCCACAAAGATGTATCATGATCTTAAGGAGATCTATTGGTGGAATGACATGAAATGGAACATAGCAGATTTTGTGGCTAAGTGTCCAAATTATCAGCAGGTGAAAGCTGAACACCAGAGGCCTGGTGGTTTGGCTCAGAGTATAGACATTCCCATTTGGAAATGGGAGATGATAAACATGGACTTCATAATAATCTTATCTCGCTCATTTCGGAAGCATGATTCAATTTGGGTGATTGTAGACCGACGTACCAAGTCAGCTCACTTCTTTCTAGTGAAGACTACAGATTCAGCAGAGGATTATGCCAAGTTGTATATCTAGGAAATTGTCCGATTGCATGGGACTCATTTGTCCATCATCTCAGATCATGATGCTCAGTTCACAGCGAACTTTTGGAAATCCTTTCAGAAAGGATTGGGCACAAGGGTGAACCTCAGCACAGCTTTTCATCCTCAGCCAGATTGCCAGGTAAAGCGCACCATTCAGACTCTTGAGGATATGTTGAGGGCATGTGTTATAAATTTTAAAGGTAATTGGGATGATCATCTACCCCTCATTGAGTTTGCTTATAATAATAGCTACCACTCTAGTATAAATATGGCATCGTACGATGCTCTGTATGGGCGAATGTGTAGATCACCAATTGGTTGGTTCGAAGTTGGCGAAGTGGAGTTGTTAGGGATTGATTTGGTCTATCAGGGTATGGAGAAAGTCAAGTTTATTCAATAGCATTTGAATATGGATCAGAGTTTCCAAAAGTCCTATTCGGACTTGCGCCATAGAGACTTAGAGTTCCAAGTGGATGATTAGGTGTTTCTGAAAGTTTCGCCAATGAAAGGCGTTATGAGATTTTGGAAGAAGGGGAAGCTTAATCCCCACTATATTGGGCCATATAGAATCCAGTGAAGGATCGGGCAGGTGGCTTATGAGTTAGAATTGCCACAAGAATTAGCTGTTGAACACCTAGTGTTTCATGTGTCTGTGTTGAAGAAATTCATGGGAGACCCTTCTCTTATGGTTCCTACTGAGATTATAGGGGTTAAAGATAGCCTAACTTATGATGAAATTCCAGTGGCTACCCTTGATCGTCAAATCTGCAAGCTTAGAACTAAGAAAATTGCTTCAGTGAAAGTGCATTGGAGGAATCAAAAGGTTGAAGAGGCTACGTGGGAAGCCGAAGAGGACATGAAGTCCAGATATCCCCATCTCTTTGAAGAGCAATCGAAAAATGTAGAAGGTAACTAACCTTTGCATGCAGACCTTATATTACAATCTTCATGTCTTTTATTATTCAATCAGTTTAGTAGCCATTTAGTTTAGTACCTATTCAGTTCAGTACAGTAATCGTGTGTTCATTCAGTTTATTATGCACGTGTTCATGTCATTTTAGTGTTCACATGTTTCCATTAGTCCTATTAACATCAAGAGTTAGTCGTAGTTACAATTAAGACAATCATTCGAGGACGAATTATCCCAAGGAGGAGATAATGTAACACTACGTAAATCTTAATTAGTTGTGGATGCATTAAATTAGTATTAATGTGACCTTTTAACATGTGAAGTCCTATTAGATGAGTATGGGTGGAAACCATTGTTTTGGAATCAAGACCGATAGTGAGGTGCATAAAATTTGATAGAATCGACTAAGTTTATGGGAGGTACATTTTATAGACTTAGGCAGTGCAAGGCCATGAAAACCCACGGCCGTAGACAGTGCAAGGCCATAAAAACTCAAGGCCATAGACAGTGCAAGGCACTGTCTAGGGCATTAACCTCAGCGCCCCTGACAGTGCAAGGCACTGTCCAGGGCATTAAAGTCAGCGCCCCTGATAGTGTAAGGCACTGTAGTTTTGGCGCCCCTGACGATGCCCCGCGTCGATGATGTTTATTCTAGCTACTTTTATTTCCTCCTCAATTTTGGGATGTGTTCACTTATTTAAAACCCTTACCTCGTTCCACCACAACCAAAACACGAAAACCTACTCTAGAAAGGGAAGCTCTCAAGAAACTAACTTCCCCAAGGTCCCTCCATCATCCAAGGTAAGCTCTAATGATGATTCTATGTTAATTTCAATTCTCCAACACCTTATTAACATAGGTAGATCCTTCCATACATTAGGTATTTGATCGAGACACCATTGTTGAGAAAGAAAACCCTAGAACTCGAATTCAAGAGGAGTGAACTTCAAAAAGGCAATGCTTCTGCTCCTTAATCATTTATAACTATGAATTGATGAGTTTTTAGGAGAATAGTAAATGGGTTTGATAAAGAGAACTATAAGAACTATGCTAAGGCTTTGGATTGTTGACTTATGATTGTTGTAAACATTTGGGTGATGAGAAATGGTGTTAGTTACATCTATTTGGGATTGTAGAATCAGCTAGAAGTAGTATNTCTTAAAAAGGGCCAGAGTTAAGGTATGTGAGGCTAACTCTCTTTACGTTTGGGAATGTTTATGATTCTCCCTACATCCGATTCTTTATGACTGTTATGAGTTTCCTCATAAAGTAATTATGCCTTAGTTCTATGAATTGTTGTAGAACTTCTATTCTTTAGAAGGAATAGTTTTTTAATTGTTCAATCTCTCATGTGTTTCAGTTGTGACAAATCAATTTATTATAAAGACATGTCTCAGTCTAGTTCTATTCCGCATTCCAGTATCATGTAACTCAATATGGTTCAGTATTTTAATATCATATATTGCAGTATGATTCTCAGTTCCTAATTCTAATTTCCTGAATGTTGAATACCTGTATTTGGGCCTGAGGCCACAGTTTATGCTTTATGCATTTTTGGACCTGAGGCCACAGTTTATGCTTTATGCATTTTTGGACCTGAGGCCGCAGTTATGTATACATATACTTGGGCCCGAGGCCGCAGTTTGTGCAATATATATATATATATATATTGGGCTTGAGGCCGTAGTTTATTTATTCATATAAACAGTTGGTTCATCATTCAGAAGAGGGAGTATTCCTAACCTTACTTCCTATGTTTAGTTCAGTTATCAATTATCAGTTATCAGTTTCAGTTTCAGTATTTACAGTTCCTTCTTTCGGCTGTTTTACATACCAGTGCAATTCAAGTGTACTAACGTCCCTTTTTTTTCCGGGGCCTGCATCTCGCAATGCATGTAACG